TCGGAGGCGAAGGCGGTTAAGAAGCCTTAATAAAAGGATTGGACCACGAAAAGCACACGCTATGGACATTTCCGCCGTAGGAGAGCTGAGCATGATGATCGTTATCACGCCCAAAGAACAGCAATGGTACGTTCATTAAATTACATTAATACTAGTACTAGGAGTTATGTAGGGCTAATTTGTGTCTTTGTATGTGTTTCCAGATATGCGAATACTACCGAACGCGTCGTGTCCCGCGCTCTCTCTGGGTGAACAATTCGCCTGGAAGCAACGTTGGGGAGAGGCATCTGAACAGCATGGAAATTGTAAATTGACAATAAAGCTGATCTTTTGTAGTGCATTTGGTTCTCTTTATTTACCAGTCAACAGACACAATTACAATAGTGCAGACACACCTTAGTGCAAAGATTAAATGTCAGTATCAAAACAGTACTCATACTGTATATTTGTATATTAATGAGTATATTATTATGTTAAATGTGTGTTAAAGACAATGGGATGAGGTTAAAAACTGTTGTATACCATCTTTACTGTGATAAATACATACATGTTAAGCATACACACCTGAAGAACTACGTTACACACAGGTTAGTCTGTGCACTGCTGCTGGTTTAAACAAAGACAGTCATGATGCTAGTGCCGTGCATGTAGGTTCTCTTTATTTATCAGCAGCAGATCAATAAGTGTCAGTAGTATCAACACAATATAATAACAGTGGCAATATATATATATATATAATAACAATAGGTAGGCTCAGCAGCAGACACACCTTAGTGCAAAGTTAGGTGTCAGTATTAATAACAGTGGCATATATATATATATATATATATATATATATATATATATATATAATCACAATAATACAAAATGAACTGTCCCAGGTGTAGGCAATTTGGGGTGAAGTGTCTTGCCCAGGGACACAACGACATCCTGACTGCAGTGGGGTTTGAACCTGTGCTCCCCTGATCCGAACACCAACGCACCAGACCACTGCATCACACGCCTCCCAACAAGTCATTGTACAGTTTATCAACGACGACAAGTTTTTCTTAATTTTCGTATTGAAGGCCTGTTGGATTTAATCAGCTCGCTTAGCACTGCCAGAAGCCCAGCCTGAAAGGTATTTTGTTGCTCCACCTCGATTCCTGGGCCTTGTGTGAATGCAGCAGCCGTTCGTCGTGCATCTCCTTGGCACGCAGGTCCTCATTCTCCTTGCTGACCATGGCACGGCGGTCCATCGCCATGATGGTGTCAAGGAAGCTGTCATCGCGTGCCCACTTTCCTAAGGTGAAATATGCAAGATACAAGATCAGTTTAATCGCACAGGAGGTCAGGTGATTGCTGGGGAACAGCAGCAACTAATAAGGCCAGGACAGACAAGATCAGTTTAATCGCAACAACGAGACAACATTGTCCAAATCTGTCTCTGCAGGCACACAACAGGAGGAACACGGGGAACACGGGGAACACCTTTGATTTGACTATTAACATTTTAAATGGTGAAGGCACTAGCAATTGGGGGATGGAGGGCTCTCAGGTCATGATAGGGAGGCGTGTGGCGCAGTGGATAAGTGCATTGGTGTTCGGATCAGGGGAGCACATGTTCAAACCCCACTGCAGTCAGCATGTCGTTGTGTCCCTGAGACACTTCACCCCAAAGTGCTCCTGTGGGGATTGCCCACAGTATTGAGTATGTAAGCTTTGGATAAAAGCGTCTAACAAGTGACATGTAATGATTCAAAAAGCTTTTGAATATTGAATAACAAACCAATGTGGTTTACTTGTTATCCACAATTTAGCTGCTAAATGTTTTTTAGCAATGCTTTTCTTTGTGCTCCACATATCTAAATCTAAAACCTCCGTTCCCTCCTGTTTGCTGCAGTATGGCAGCAGCGGTCAGGATGGTAGTCCTGATGGTGTCCGCTGACCGGGCACAGGGTGTGGAGCTGCCTACTCTCAGCGGGGGGGAACTGAACGTGGAAACTGTGTTTCTCTGAGGGATCCTCCATGTAGTCTGAGAAGCCTTCTGAGGAAACAAGGTCAAACTATTTAGGATAATACAAGGAACAATGTTTAGGCAGTAAATAGAATTTCAATTACATTTCTACTTAAATGTGCAAACATATTAGAACATCAGTCTTTGTGGCATGCAGGTAATCAACTGTTTAAGCTTTTACCATTAACATGTAGAATGAATGTTGCAATTACTTGAAATTATAGCAATTACAATCTATTGTTTACCTCTATGCATTCAGTGTAGCCACAGAGGTCCAGCTAGCATGCTAATTGCTAACGTTATATTATCGTTTTATCCCGGAGGGGAAAACTAGTTTCTAATCCTGAGAGAAACACCTCGCCTGAAACACACGATTAGTGCCATGAGTTAGTGAAGCAAATTACAGAACATTGCACACTTATTCACAAGTCAATACGTGTTCATAGCGGGCACGGCTGAGAATAGCTAGCTAGCTAGATGTTGTTAGCCAGCTTGGACCTAACGTTAGCAAGTTCTAGCATGGCTAGCTCGATCTACTGAGCAAATAAAAGTACATCTAAGACCAGTATTGTGCAGATTAAAACAGTGCAGTGCATGTATTTTATTTTACCTTCGTAGTCGTCACAACATGACTTTGCCAGGTCTGCTAACTTTGCTGATCCACTGAAACTGCATGCAGTAGAAGCTTCTGAATGCCGCACTTCGCGTCCTCCGAGTAAATCGCCAGAAGCGCCGAGACATCCTCATCAATTCCACCGCTCCGATGATTTATTTAGTGTTGCTATAATAACTGCTTTCACAAAAGTAATCTCTTCGGGTAAACGAGCAAATACAATGGCCGCTTCCAAAAAAAAATTCAGAGTCAAACGGGCGTGGTTTGCATTCCGCACAGCCAATCAGACGTACGAACTATTTTCTCCCACAACAGTCCCTGCTCTGTAGCAGGGACTGAAAAGCGGGTCGGACGAACTCATTTGAGCTACTTTAGTTCCTGGGGCTTTTTGGTGTGAACGCAAATATATCGTAGTTCTGATGAACTATTGTGGGAAAAGTACACCAAAGTACTCCGGTGTGAACGCACCTATTGTAGCTTTTCTTAATTAAATAATCTTTAAAAATGTATTTTAACATTCTGGTAAAGTGCATTTAAGTGATGACCCTGATTATTGCTACTATCTCTGCTTTATCACTGCTTTTATGGATGTGTTCTTATTTATGTACTGCAGTGAGAGAAGCCAACTGAATTTCGTTACACTGATGTGTGATGACAATGAAGATATTCTATTCTATTCTAACGTATTACATGTAACGGCATTAGGTCATCAGGATACAAAATAGGCAAATGTGTTCCCTAAAGGCCCTGACACACCAGGCCGTATTCGGCCGTCTTCGGTTGTCTGGCGATAACGCGTTCCTTGTCGCCCAAAGTCAATTTGGTGTGTCCCGAACCCTCGGCCGTGACACGCCTTATTTGGCCTTTCACGGTCGACACATGCCAAAATACGGACACAAGCTATCGGGCCAAGAAACCACTCTGATCAGCTGTTCAGCTAGCAAATGAGAAGCGAAACGGAAGTGAGGGACGTAAACAAACTATTTAAAAAGGCACAGGACAGCAGCTAAACCCCAGCAGGTGATACTTAAAAGACATCAAACATAGCCCTTAAATGTCCTCTCTTACCTCCCACACATAGCAGGGACATCTCTGATATCGGCGGGAGCGTCCCCGGCTGTCCTCTGCTGAGAGCTCCGTGATTTGTTTGGTCAAGTCCGGTTTTTCACAAGTACCTCAACATTGTCCTTAAGTACAGTGTCTAAGTAAATGAGATACTGTCTATTGCTGTTCATTTACCTATTGTGAGTCGCCTCGGATAAAAGCATCAAATGGAAATATAAATGTAGCAAGAAGTGGCCATTATTACATTGCTGACTCAATAAACTACCCACCAGAACACTGCGATCACTGCGATCATCAGATGCAGGTCTATTAACTGTGATTTTATAGTATGTCTGCACTTTATGTGCTCATTTCATCATTCATGTATTTTTATATTCTAAAACATGTTTTCGATGGACGAGAGTGAAAATGGAACGCACACGCTATTTGTTTGTTTATATCAGTCTGTTCTTCTTCTCTGTCTTCCGGTTGTTGCCTATTTTGAATGACGAATACACACTACCGCCGCCTGCTGGTAAGGAGAGTTATTGCCACTCACGCATGCGCAGTTCGTACGTGCTCGGCTGAAGTCTTTGCGGTGTGTTCCAGTGCGACACATGGCCAAGACGCAGGAGAACTCGGCGAGTTCTCTGGTGACTGCCTGGTGTGTCAGGGCCTTTACAGTTACAGAAGCAAAAACAATCAGATAAGAGGTACATTTATGTAAAAGAGGGTTTATTAACAGGATAGCAATGATACAAAACATTTAGAAATAAAGAACAATACATCAAATCATCCTATATCTGTATATGGAAACTTGGAGCCCTCAATCCACAATAAAATGGTTAATCAAAAGTCAGTGGTTAACGTATAAATCAGAAAATCAATATGACAAAAACATTAAACATATTGTCCACTTATATTGATAAAGATAGAGTTCATTTAAGTCTTATATGAATGTTGTGCAACAATGTTGATCCAGTCAGGCAGATTTGTCTCATGTGTGAACTGTCATAAGACTTATTCATTGTCCTCTCCATCAGCTTCTGTTTCCATGTGTTCAGCTGAGCTGCTGATTGGAGGTTCTGCCTCTCAGTTATCCTCAGTTTGAATTTCATTAAGCTGTGAGGACTGACGACCAACACATTTGTGTTTATTGAAAATATTAGTTTATTACATCTTAAGAAGCCCTCAGACGCTGTTGCTTGCAGATGTTGTGGTTTCGGCCCCATCGGCGGGTCTGTGGGGCTTAAGAGGCTTTGAGGACTGACGACCAACACACTTGTGTCTATTGAAACAATTACGCCATTTAAATCTTTTGTCACAAACATTGCAGCTGTATATTTCCTCTCCTGTGTGGACTCTCATATGTGCCTTTAAACTTCCACTCTGTGAAAAAGCTTCCTTACAGACTGAGCATCTGTATGGTTTCTCTCCTGTGTGGACTCTCATGTGTGCCTTTAAACTTCCACTCTGTGAAAAAGCTTCCTTACATACTGAGCATCTGTATGGTTTCTCTCCTGTGTGGACTCTCATGTGTGCCTTTAAACTTCCACTCTGTGAAAAAGCTTTCTTACAGACTGAGCATCTGTATGGTTTCTCTCCTGTGTGGACTCTCATGTGTTTTTTTAAATGTGCACTGTGAAAAAGCTTCCTTACAGACTGAGCATCTGTATGGTTTCTCTCCTGTGTGGACTCTCATGTGTGCCTTTAAACTTCCACTCTGTGAAAAAGCTTCCTTACAGACTGAGCATCTGTATGGTTTTTCTCCTGTGTGGACTCTCATGTGTGCCTTTAAATTTCCACTCAGTGAAAAAGCTTCTTTACAGACTGAGCAGCTGTGTGATTTCTCTCCTGTGTGGACTCTCATGTGTGCCTTTAAAATTCCACTCTCTGAAAAAGCTTTCTCACAAACTGAGCAGCGAAAGGGTTTCTCTCCTGTGTGAACTCTCATGTGTCTTTTTAAATGTCCACTCTGTGAAAAAGCTTTCTTACAGACTGAGCAGCTGAATGGTTTCTTTTCAACACTACGTCGTGGATCACAGACAGATTCATGTCTATTTTTCAGTGAGTTTGAGCCTGATGCAGGTTCTCTGGTCTCCTTCCAATCAGCACTGTCTTCAGTGTCAGGTTCAGAAGAGTCTTCAGTGTCGTCCTCAGTCTTTGGTTGTAAACTGCTCTCTGGATCTGAGTTCCTTGCTGGTTCTGGTCCTCGACAGTCATCTCCATCAGCTTCTGTTTCCATGTGTTCAGTTTGTCTTTGACGAGGCTGTGAGGACTGAGGTTTATCTTCATCATCTTCACTCTTCACAGGGTCAGGAGTGAAAGTGGACTTGGTGATATCAGCCTCCTCCAGCTCCTGAAGCGGCTCTCCCTCCTGATTGATCCTGAGTTCCTCCTGTTCCTGCTTAATGTGTGGCGGGGGCTCTGGGTCCTCCTGGTCCAGACTGGTGCTCCACTCCTGCTGGTCAGGGAGAACCTCTTCTTTAACCACCACCAGCTGCTGGACGTCTGCAGGAAACACACAGTCAGAAAAAACTGTTAAGTGTTAGCATTTAAAAATCTAATCACCATTAAAACGGGAGACATTTTTCAGCCCTAATAATGCCTTTGTTTTTATACTTTAATATTATCTTTCTTAGTCCCAACTATTGTTTATTTTTGTTGGCTCAATTCACCTTATGTAGCCCAGCCCCTTTCCACTTCCAGTTAAAAATGAAAAGGGGTTATTTCTTCTGGTTTAGAACTAGCTGCAATGTAAACAATGAATTGTATTTGGGATCGTTCACAGCTACACTACGCCTATAGAATGGCAATACTAAAAATATATTGTAGCTCCATACCTATACAAAACATGTCTGTGAAGTGTTTTGCTTAAAATACCAAACAGATCACCCATTGTAGCCATGCCTCATACCCCTCTATTATAGCCCTGTTCCAAAAAGGCTGATTCTGTGACCTTAGCTTTAAATGGAACAGCTGCTGCTAGCCACGCCCCTTTGTAGCGTCACGCAGCTTTCCCCTGCTAAGAGAGTTTTCTACCGGGAGAAACTCAGCTAAACGCTGCCGTGATTAAATGCCATATTATGTTCCAAACCACTTCAAGCATTATTTCTGAAACAGTACACTGTAAAAAAGGATTTGATCATTAAGTTATTGTAACTTTTTTCTTTAAGTTACTTTCACTTAATATATCAATTTATGCAATTTCTACTTAATTTCATAAGTTGCTATTATTACAACTCAGCTTTTTAAGCCAGCTCAATGACCTGTAAAGTATATTAAGTCAATTTGACTGAACAGTGCGAGTTGTGATTTGTATTGTTCTACAACTTTCCATGACATATTCCTGTGCGGTGAAAATAGTCCCGGTCTTGTAGTTGTTTTCATTGAATGAAGGCATTTAACAGGGACATGCGTTTTTTTAAATTACGATATACAAGTGAACCACCTGGTTTCGATTCGCCATTATCAAAAGAAGAACTTCAACCTGACAGATTGATGATGACTACGAAAAGCAAAGCGGTGGATGATTACGTTTTTTTTAAAGTGATGTGACAGTAAACATGATTTACCGAGTAACGGGTGTGCACGGCGCAGATATTTTCGGCCGATGAACCTCAAAGTGAGGTGAGTGATTGCATATTTAACGGTTTCAGGCAAGACGAAAAGTAGCTAAATGGAGTTAAATCAACACCTAACTGGTGTTTCAATATTTATAAAGACACTTTATTTGAGGGCAGAGTGTGAATGAAAATGTCAGTTCACCAAGCTAACATTACAGGATTATGTTTCACAAAACATTTATAAAATAAATAAGCCTCAAGCATTCACACTCTTATTTATAACGCAGGGCTCGACAGTAACGGTTGCCAGGTTGCCATTGGCAACCATTCAGAAAAATTGTTAACCACTTCTTGGCCTTTGGTTGCCATCAGTGGCAACCACTTTTTAACATGAAGAAATAAGGACAGCAAACAGCTAAATGTGCACCCCAAAATAGATAAATGTTAATTATTTGTTGTATTAAGAGTGATATTTAATTATTGTTGTGACCAGTCGGAACCTGATACTTAAGTCGCACGTGCATTGGTGTGATTACGGAGCCAGAAAGCGATGCACGTTTACTCGCGTGCGCGGTGCGCCGTGTGTTTGTTTAACAAAAAATGGCGAAGCAAATTAAGTTGTTTGACTGTGGGGTAAAAAGTTCGGCCAACCCGTTAACATCTACTACCAAAATAAAAGTGCAAAACGAAACTTTACCATAGGAGAATATTAGCATACAAATATAATCACTTCTATAAAAAGGTAACACATTTTAAAAATAGTAAGACATATTAATAAATAATTTACAGCATTAATAAGTAATATCTAATTCTTAACTGTGAATGGTTTTTATTTATTTAACATTAAAAATGTATTAGTCTGGCCAATCCAAGACTTCAATGCTGAAGGGCCAATGGATCTATGGTGGGGATCAGCACAAAGGTCAAGAAAACCCACATTTGAAAGGGAGACAACGGATGACGAAACTAGCGACTTGCTCAATTCATTTGTGAGGGATCTGTGAAGAACATGACAACAGCTGCACTACTGGTGTTTTGTATACCAGCAATTGAGGGTGGACAAGTTTACTACCACTTTAGTGTCAAATAATTGTGTTAATTACTTAAAGTGGACCTATCATGCTATATTTGACAAATATATTGTAGGGTCATACCTATATAAAACATGTCTGTGAAGTTCTTTTTCAAAATACCAAACAGATCATGCATATTAGCCATGCCTCATTTCGCTCTATTTGCTCTTTTCCAGCCCTGTTTTTGCAAGGGCTGATTCTGTGACTGTAGCTTTAATGCAAATGAGCTGCAGCTGACCACGCCCCCCTGCAGGAGAGGGGGGCATGCTCTGATCAGCTGGGCTCTCAGAAGAGGGGGAGGAAAAGAGAGTCTCCGTCCTCCGTGTTTTATTCTTATATGATTATATAGAGTCGTTATTCATTTGTTTTAAAGCTCAATAAATAACAAAGAAGACCTTTGACCGGCACTTTTCTAATTTTGTCCGGAAGATTTAAACTTTAACCTGTTAAGCCCGAGAGACCCCGGTACCGGGGTACTGCCGCAACATCTTGCAGGAAACAGTGTCTGAGGGCATGTTCATTTAATAAAACTATGAATGTTTTATATCCATGTAACGGGAAGAAACTCATCTAACTGATCATTTTTTATTTTTTTTCAAAAGAAAACCCACAATGCTAACACTGAGCCTCTCAATTAGCAACAAGCGAAAAATGCTAACAACTTACTGCACCGAAAATCACTCACAAAACCTTATTATTTATCTTTTCACCACATCCAACACATAATTTCACATCGTGAGGTGACACAGAATCGATTGACACCAACATTACCACTGAATTATACGTATTTGCGACGTTATAAGCAAAAACAGACATCAAAACAGGTGACGCTAGGTAGCTAAAAATGCTAAAATGTTTACCTTGGCTCTGTAGTCTCTTCAAAGTGGTCTTCAATGGCATTAAAACGATAAAAACGCTGCTGAAGTTAATCCATAGGTTAATCTAATGTGTCTGTGTCCCTTTGAAATCATTTCTGATAATCCATAAGCATTAAAACTGCTTTTCCGTTTCCAGATGTCAAAGCTAGAGATAGGTCCACTCTGATGCAAAATTACATGCGCGAAGCCCTCACCTTTTCTCTTCACAACGTGTGTGTGTGGGGGACTCCCCCTTCGATTCTATTGGCTCTAACGGTCAGAAAGAGGTGTCAACCATCAAAATCGAGCAAGGGAAGCCAGAGATATGGAAAATCCACCCAAATGACCCCAGAACTGGTTTCTTTTTGCTAAATCTCTCTAAAAAGGTCAAATGTCACTTGTTTTGCATCAATTTTGATACAGGGTACTTATTATATGTTGTACTTTGGATTCCTAAAGCTTTTAGTCTACTAACCCATCATCCAAGGGTGGTTTTCACTATAAGTAACAATTGTTTTACTATGTTCAATCTGAAATTTCTTTAAAATAAAAAACATCTATATTGATTCTGACTTTTCTACATCCAACTCACAGGTTTATCATTACTTTGAGAAAAAAGATTATTAATTGAACCCTTTTAGAAGGGAAGATATGGTCATTTGTTCTGGGAATGTCATTTTCGAGCCTGAGACCTGAAAAACAGGCTCAGGACTTAACAGGTTAACGGACATGTTGACCGGCGAAAAAAAATCTAACTGAAACTCTGCTGCACGGTCCCCTCGTCCCTTGGAAGAGGCGGAGAGGTGGGTGTTTGTCATCTGCTGGTTGACTACCGGAGAGAATTACAGCGAGGGAGGGATTGCATTGAATTACAGCAGCAGGAGCAAACGCTTGCCTCGGGGAGGGAGAAAAAGAGCCAGAGCGTCCACAGCGGAGAATAAACAGAAGGGCAACCATGGCAACCATGCGCGGGAAGTCTTCTTCGCTGCCTTTGTGCCAGACTACAGCGCCACTTACAGGCCTGGCATATGTACTACAGCGTCTCCAGCGCTTTCGAGCGGCAATGGCCGTGGCCGTGGCCCACCCCCCAGATAGGTGGAAAGTTGCCCATATAGGCGGAGCACCCCATTTTTGACGTCAGAACAATTTCAAATCTATATCAGCTCCGTTGCAGCCCCGTTTTTAGAGATTTGGGTATGGAGGAAAAGAGAGAGGGTTGTGTTTTCGGACACTTGGTGAGTTCCCTGACACACCGGGGACACATATTCATGTATAAAAGACGTACAAAAGTGCATTTTGCATGATAGGTCCCCTTTAATGTAAAGCATTTGAACATTATTTTGTGTCAAATTTTCATTATTAAGTTGATGTATAAATCTTAATTATTTAAAATAGAAGGTGACTAAATATGGCAACCGTATTTTCAGTTTTGGCAAACAAAAGCTGATGCCTGGTTGCCAGCCTGGCAACCACTTTTAAAAGTTAGCGTTGAGCCCTGTAACGCTTGTGATTTTTTAAAGTTTTGAATGGTAACTGCCTATGTTTGTAGCTTGATTTAGAGAGGTTGTGTTTGTTCGTTCCAGTAATTAGCCGTGTCCCAGCTATCGGTTCGGCTAAATATTGAAGCTAAATTGGCACGTTTCGGAGAGGTTGTGTGTATTCGTGCCAGTAATTAGCTGTGTCCTGGCTCTCTGAATTGTAGCTTGTTAGCCCCTGCTATGTTCTGAAAGCTGGGCCATTGCTGTGAAGTGGAACTTGCAACTTTTTTCTGGTTCAGCTCGCGCTAAACCTGCCCAGATACAGAGGGGGTGCCTCGCGCCATTCTTTCCATTGAACGAGTAAAATGCTAAATGTGTTCAGAAATAGCATTCATATTGTGTATGAATGCTATTTTTTACTCTTGAAATGGGGGAAACAAATTTGTATTTCTGTTGTTTTAGAAAATATTTTATAGAAAAGAAAGGAATATATTTAGTTTATTTCATCGAAATACGGTGCCCATAAACCACAAGTCC